TTTGCTCTGATAGAAAAATGTTTACCACCTATCAAAAAGTTACTCATGGAGAGCAACTGTTCATGGGGAATTCTTCTACATCCAAGGTTCAAGGCCTAGGAAAGGTAATTGGAAAGATGACTACTAGAAAGGAACTTATTCTTAACGATGTGCTTCATGTGCTTAACATCATAAAGAACTTAGTCTCTAGACCATTGTTGAGCAAAAATGGTTTCCGTTTGGTTTTTGAGTCTGATAAGTTTGTACTAACAAAGAGTGGAATGTATGTTGGGAAAGGATATCTCAGTGATGGTCTTTTCAAATTGAATGTAATGACTGTTATACCCAAAATTATCAATAAAGTTAATTCTTCTGCTTATATTGTGGAATCGCCAAATATATGGCATGGGAGGTTAGGACATGTGAATTATGATACTATACGTAGGCTAATTAGCATAGACCTATTACCTAAGTTTCGTATTGATAGAAGTCATAAATGTGAAACTTGTGTAGAAGCAAAGTCAACTAAAGCACCTTTTCACTCTGTTGAAAGAAGTATGGAACCTCTAGAATTAATTCATAGTGATATATGTGATCTAAAGTTTGTGCAAACTAGAGGAGGCAAGAAATATTTTATTACTTTCACAGACGATTGCACAAGGTACTGCTATGTGTATTTGCTAAGAAGCAAAGATGAAGCCTTAGAAGTGTTCACAAATTAAAAGAACGAAGTTGAGAATCAACTTAGCAAAAAGATAAAGGTTATAAGAAGTGATAGGGGAGGTGAATATGTTGCTCCTTTTTCTGAATTTTGTACTCAACATGGGATTATTCACCAAACTACTGCTCCTTATTCACCTCAACAAAACGGAGTTGCTAAACACAAAAATCGTACATTGAAAGAAATGATGAATGCTATGTTGATAAGTTCTGGGGCAGCCCAGAATTTGTGGGGAGAAACATTGCTTTCTGCAAACCACATTCTCAATCAATTACTTCATAAGAAAATATGACACCTTATGAATTATGGAAAGGCAAGAAGCCTTCTTATAAATTTCTCAAAGTTTAGGGATGTCTAGCTAAGGCCACGATCCTTGATCCTAGGAAGATTAAAATAGGACCTAAAACCATTGATTGTGTTTTCATTGGTTATGCTATAAATAGTAGTGCATATCGGTTTCTTGTACATAAATTGGATAATCCCGAAGTAAATGTTAATACAATAATTGAGTCAAGAAATGCTACATTTTTTGAAAATGTATTTCCATGGAAAATTGCCCAAGAACAAAGTTCTTTGAAAAGAACTTATGATGACTTTAATAGCAGTCATAAAGAAAGTAATGATAATTCTGTTGACCGATAACATGTACAAGAAATTGAACCAAGACGTAGTAAGAAGGCTAAAATATCAACGTCTTTTGGACCTGATTTTCTTACTTACTTATTAGAAAATGAGCCTCAAACGTATAAGGAAGCTATATCTTCTCCAGAAGCTCCATTTTGAAAAGAGGCTATGAATGCTGAAATTGAATCCATCATGCAAAATCATACATGGGAATTGGTGGATCTTCCTCCTGGAAATAAACCTTTAGGTCATAAATGGATTTTCAAAAGGAAGATGAAAGCAGATGGATTTATTGACAAGTACAGGGCAACACTTATCGCCAAAGGTTATAAGCAAAGAGAAGGCTTAGACTATTTTGATACATATTCGCCAGTCATGAGGATAACATCCATCCATATGTTGATTGCTATTGCAGCAATTCATAATCTTAAGATTCATCAAATGGATGTCAAGACTGCTTTTCTAAATGGTGATTTGGACGAGGAAATTTATATGGAACAACTTGAAGATTTCATAGTGCATGGCCAAGAGACAAAGGTATGTAGACTTGTTAAATCACTTTATGGTTTAAAACAAGCACCTAAGCAATGGCACCATAAGTTTGACACTGCAATGTTGTCAAATGGATTTAAAATAAATGAGTGTGACAAATGTGTTTACACTAAAAGCACACAAGAGGGATATGTCATTGTATGTCTATATGTCGATGATATGCTAATTATTGGTAGTAATCATGGGATTATTAAATCTACCACAAGAATGTTGGCTAGTAAGTTTGATATGAAAGATATGAGAATTGTAGTTGTTATACTAGGAATCAAGATTTCTAAAACATCTGAAGGACTAATTTTATGTCAATCACATTATATTGAGAAAATACTTACGAAATTTAGTAATTATGTAAGTAGTCCTACAAAAACACCATATGATGTCAATTTGCATTTATCAAAGAATATTGGTCAATGAATATCTCAAAGTGAATATGCACGCATAATTGGTAGTCTAATGTACATTACAAATTGTACATGTCCGGACATTGCATATTCAGTTAACAGATTGAGTAGATACACGAGTAATCCTGGAGAGGATCATTGGAAGGCAATTGCTAGGGTTCTTGGTTATTTGAAATTTACGCAGAACTATGGATTGCACTTCACAAGATATCCAGCAGTACTTGAAGGCTATTATGATGCTAACTGGATATCTGATACACAAGACTCGAAGTCCACGAGTGGATATGTTTTTACTTTGGGAGGCGGAGCCATTTCATGGAAATCCTATAAACAAACGTGTATAGCTAGATCCACTATGAAATCTGAGTTCATTGCTTTAGACAGAGCAGGGGAAGAAGCTGAATGGCTTCGTAATTTCTTAGAGGATATTCTCCTAATTGGCCCAAGCCGGTGCCTGCCATATGTATACATTGTGATAGCCAATCAGCGATTGGAAGGGCACAAAATCATGTGTATAACAGTAAGTCTCCACACATACGTCGTAGTCATAATACCGTTAGGCAACTTCTCTCAAGTGGTATAATTACTATTGATTACATAAGGTCAAAAGAAAATATAGCGGATCAGTTTACTAAAGGTTTGACTAGAGAGCAAGTTTATAAATCATCGAGGGGAATGGGTTTAAAGCCTATGTCTTAAGAATCGCCATCATCGCAACCCAACCTAGCTGACTGGAGATCCCAAGATCTAGGTTCAAAGGGACAACTGAATTGTGGATGATTCAATGGGAGCACTGCGGAGATAATCTCATACCCATGTCCGATGATGAAACAGTGCTATCTATAGCATGTTTAGGATAAGCATTGCTTTTGATGATTCATATACTTGGAAATAACAAGTGGGGTATTGTGCAGGATACTCTTAATGGGATATCACCTACATGAGTGTGAAAAGTGGCCGTTTCTATGAGAATTATAAGGCTGAATTCTCTAAAGCACTCAGGATTACCGGGAATTGTTCAGGGCCAAAATGAACACAACTGTAGAATCATATGTGTTCGGAGGAATACCGTGTGAATATTATTGTCTTGGTTTACATCAACGGCTGAGTAGTTCAAGACCTCGCGTTCATTGATTAGCCAGTAAATCCGATAATATTTCACTAAGGAAGGTTCAATGCCAAAAGCTATCTCTCCCCATACGGTATTTGTCCAATTAAACTCTCTCTAAGTGTTTGCATCTTCATTTGCATTAAATTTTGTTAATTTTCATTCATGTGGGGATTGTTAGAAATTTAATATTTAAATATTAATATTATTAATATTTAAATATTAAATATTCAAGTGAATGAAATATTAAAGTGGTCATGGAAAGGTTTGACCGGCAGATTTTCAAGGGTTGTGTATGTTTGAAAGGGTTGCATGGCTGCAGCTTTTTATCATTTGGAAACTGATGCAATTTTGAATAAAGATTGCATCTCTTGATCTGGAAACAAATGCAACTTTAAACAAAGGTTGCATCCTTTGTCTTTTGGAAAGCAGACGCAAGCTTTGAAAATGGGGCATGTCAATGCCTATAAATAGACCGCCAAGTCAATTATTTTAGATATAGTTTTGCATCCAAAAATTATATAGAAATTAGAGTAGTTTAGTGTTGAAGAAAGAGAGTTTAAAAACACTTTTGATTCACTGTTCTTTGTGGATTGGAGTGCTACTTCCGCAAAGAGAAAGATCGTTGTATCCTGGGAGACATTGGCCAACGCAAACCTTGAGGCACCACTGAGGGGTAATATTGTCTTAAGGCTATAGAATCAAATTCTAGCCTCGATCTCTTAAGGTTGTTCTATTCCTTGTTCTTCTTGCATTTATAGAAATTTTATTGTGTATTATTTAATAGTTTATAATAGATTATATATAGCAGTTTTTCAAAGCTTTTTCCAACAACTTAATGGAATGATCCTTCAAACGTTAAAAGACTTGGGGATGAATAAACCGATCCAATATTTTTCCCCTCTAAGACCAAGTTTTTCAAGTTACGCAAATTTTAGATAAAACCGGATTGGAAGTTCAAAACTTTTTGAATCTATAGATATATCTATACATTCTAATTTCCATAAAACATTTTTGGAAATTTCAGATTTGGAACATAATTTTTCGCTTCAACATTGAAATTTCCACTGCATTGGACATCCGAATTTCCAATACAACTTGAGCTTTGCTGCTGGTTTTATGCTTATCTAGTTGTTCTCTGATACATTCAGCCGTATGTTCTACATAAGTTTTATACCATTTGTCCGTCTAAAGAAATATGAACTTATCATCATTTTATTTGCAAAAAGGGTTCTGACCTAATGATGATGCAGACTTTGCACTTTATAGTCTTCGTTTTTTCCTCTAACAGGACCAGCGTACGTATGTTTGATATGATTAACTTTTTTACTATTGATCATCTTCCTTGAGACAATTGGAATTTTGACAGCCTTGAAGATATATGATTTTCGATTTTTCACAAATCCCATGTGACTGCATTCATACAATTTTTATAATTCTTGTCAAATTTCCTCTAAGCCTTTGGAAAAGTCAGTTAATTCATTTTTTCATCTTGTCATTGTGCAATAATAAAGTTATTTTCTGGATTGATTTCGATTTGGCCTCTTGATATGATGATATTGGAACATTTATAAGATTAATGGTAGAACATTGTGAGCTTTGGAAAAAATACTATTGAAGTATAAAATAAAGAGCTGTAGAATTTTACACGAAAGTATATCAATGTGTATATTCTGGGAGAAGTTGTATACAAGTATGTTTTTCATGTATGAAATCAAAAGAACTAAACATCTAGTGATTTAGGATGTTGAGGAGGGAGACTCTTGTTTTGATGAGTTGCCTAAATAGGCACTCTAGTCCTTCTTCCTGCTCTTGAATACACGACTCTAGCTTCTCAAGTTGGTTCTGCGCTTTATCTGCACTTTTGTGCAGTGCAGCATCAACTAGTGAAAATTCATTGCCTTCTGTTTCTTCGTTACAAGCCATTCTTTTCGACTGCATCATCTTTGAGACCAATGACCAGCTACTTGGCTGTAACTTTGGCCCAGAAATGAAGGACAAAAGTGATTCAAAGACTGCGAGAGTGACTGCTTCAACGTCTCTCAACTTGCTAATAATGGCAACTGTCTCATTGTCGTTGTTGAGGGAAGAGAAAGCTGATCTATTTTTCATTCCCTTCAGATTTACCATAGCCTTGTGGATTGCCTTCTTCACCATCTTCCTAGAGGCCATGTATTTCCTGACCTCACTTGTGAGTGCAGATTCACCTCCCCGCCTTCTTATGATTGACTGAAGATCCTGTATGCATTCCTTGCTTTGCGACAGGGAATCCTTGGCAGTGCCACAAACCTCCAAGAGTCTGATAGAGCCATCTAATAGCTCATTAGCATATTTGTCATTCTGCTCTTGGGACAAGGCCTGTTGAGAGAGGGGCAACTGAAGCAAATTCTCCGTACAATAATGCAAGTCTTGGAGGCCACTTAGCTTGTCGCTGATAGATGATGATGATGTGCAGGTGGCCTCAGAAGACCTCAATCTGCACAAGTGTTGATCGGCTTCATGAACGATCACGTGTGGCCTTGAGGGGAAGCTGTTAGAGCGAGTGTGGAAAGCCATTTCTTCTTTATGATTTGAGAGGAGATAGAACAGACGACCTTGAAAGTTTTGGTTAATGTACAATTGAGATTGATGAGTTCCTTTCTGTCTGCATCTGCTTAATATATAGTGTTCGTTAAGGGAAGGGAACATGAAAGCTCATTAACTTCAATCAGTAGTGAGTCGTAACATAATTTCGATTTGGATCTGTATGTTCCCTAGGCAATGTCTAAGAAATGTCTCTTCCCGGACTAGCATACCAACTCACGATCACTGATTCATTTTTCATATCAAATCATTTATTGAACAGAAAACTATAAACAAAAATGTGTCATTGCACGATTATCTTCATAATGGTGTATACAGATACGTAGAGAGGCAAAAACCATGCATCGTACCCATCTGTCTAATCGCTACAAACTCTATTTTTCTGATCGATGTATGTGATTAATTAGTTTATTCGTTTTATTTTCATGGTTGTTGCAGAAGGAGCAGGCAACATCTGCAATATCCATTAATTTATGACCATGCATTGTTTTGCATATTGTAGAGAAATGGCATGTAGCAGACTTGATGAATTGGACTGTTCCCTAAACAGAACGAATTACCAGCACAATTATCCGAGTCTTCCATGTGTGTGCCATTAATTAATTACTCCCACTGATTTGTTAATTTTAATTCGTTTTGGTTCTGAAAAGTTGTCTAGTGCTTAGAGTTTTCTTATAACTCTTTTGAGTCAGTGAAATAAAATGCAAGGCTTCAGTAAGTTTTACCAGATTACAAAAGCAGTTCAAGATTAAATTGATTTGTGAAAATTACAGCATTTCAAGTAAATTGTGGAAAAAGAAGTTTCTATTGAGTATCTGAGAAAGTATATTATACATGTAGATCTCATTAATATACAAGTATGAACCAATAGAAATTTGGATGAATCATCTAGTACTAATCAAATTTCTAATCTTGTGGTTGAGGATGTTGGGAACGGAAACTCTAATTCTGATCAAACGTATTGAAACGTGTTCCAGTAACTCTTCTAGATCTTGTATGCAGGACTCCAAATTTTGCAGATGCTCTTGCACATTCTCAATAATTTCATCAGACTTGTGACCAACAAATGAGTTCAATGGCATACACTTTTGCAAATTCATTTGCATTATTTTCTTCTTTGCTTGCCGCTACGCTTTGCATAGTGCGTCAAGTTGGATACAATCATACAAGAGACCATCCACTTGGCTTTGATTGTGTCTTTTGACCCGAGATAAAAGTGAACATGGATTTAAACATGGTCTGAGTAACTGCTTTTGTGTCTTTCAACATGCTAACCGTACGTAGCCTCAGCCTCATTCTGTTTATTCAAGGGAGAAACACCCTTCAAATATCCTAAGATTTTCCAAATGACCTTTTTCATTACCTTCCTCGTTGTCAAGAATTTCTTAACCTCACTTGCGGGCTCATTTTTTGGCAATGCTACATTTATCCAAAAACCTAAGAGATCCACCCATTGATACAATACTCTTCATTTTGCCAATGTGCTAGGGCTTATCGAGTGAGTGGAAACCAAAGCAGCTCATCTACACAATCATATATACAAATCCATTAACGCGAGCAAGTTTTTGTGTAAAAATTGAGGATGAAGAGCTGGCTTCGGAAAACCTCAATCTGCACAGCTGCTCATCAAATTGGAGATAAAGAGGATGTTTTGATGAGGGGAAGTTCTTGGAGCACGCATGGCAATTGGTCGCAGCCATTTTTTTCTGTCGGAGAAGAGAGAAGTTTTGCAGCTGAATGTACAAGTCTAGGGATTTACCATCCTTCCGCAGCATTTTCTTAATATATACAAGATGATGATGACTTACTATTTGAATATCATGGGGATAGTAGGAGACAAGAAGAATCTCTTTTCTTACAATTTGTATAACATCCTACATCGATCAACGGAGAGAGGGTGATGTACCTTATATGTACATGCCCACATCTTATAGCACGAGCCCTTTTGGGGACTCATTGGCTTCGGATTCCATTAGAACTCCGAAGTTAAGCGAGTTCAGGCGGGGAGCATGGCCGAGGCTCAAAGCGGACAATATCATGCTACGGCAGAGCAGGGACTGGGATGTGACAATTTGCATGCCAACTCAACAGCATCCGTGCCGTGTTTCCCTGCCACCAACTCTCCAACTCACCACCCATTTCCTTTTATTTGTTCTGTCACAAGAAATGGCACTGCACTAGTGTTATTGACTATATGCGACACAAGAATTGGCCACCACCATAGTCTCTCACCTTCTACCTTCTTTGTATAATAATGAAGTTTGGATGACAGACCTGAAAACTGTCCTACAACTCATTAGTTTCCAAGATTCCAATATTTTCTCAATGTTGAGAAGATGATTAAACACAAATACTTAAAGATAATACAGAGTTCGAGACTCACATGGTAATTCCAGCAGAAGTAGGGTTTAGGTTTCACGCGTACAAATTTGAATCTTCACATGGTTCTTTTTCTATGAAAGGAATAGCCCCACATAATAAGCCTAGCTATTTGCTTATAGCCTGGACTATTTTCTTGCATAATAGAAATATATACAGCGAGGGATTATGCAGATCTTGCTTCCTCTGAACACTCACAATTTAATGGCCCAATGAAAACATTATGATAACTGAAAGAGAAATGCACTTCCTCAAGAAAAACAAAGGGAATATATATATATATATGTAGATATTGAAACATTGAGTGATTATATTGTTTAGTGAGAGAGATACAAGAATATGTCAATCAATTCTGTTAATCCGTATTAGTACACTAGTGTGTTTTAATTATAATTTTATTTGTCGGATGTGTTTTGATTATATGAATAGCTTAGATTAACACATTAGTCGGTCCGATAAGTTTATTTACTTTAATCTGTATAAAAAGAAGAGTTTTTATCACAAATGATCCTTGAAATTGACCCTCACCATCAAAATGGTCCCTGAAATTAAAAATCAATTAATGTAGTCCCTGAAAATAGGTGTTGCAAATCAATGTGGTCCTTCCATTACGATTCTGTTTAAAATTCCGTTCAGTGCTGATGTAGCACATCAATGGGCCCCACAAGATTTACGGGTTTTTATCACAAATGATTCCTAAAATTGACCCACATCATTAAGATAGTCTTTGAAATTGAAAATCAATCAATGTAATCCTTGAAAATATGTGCTGATGTGGGTTTAATAATTAATTAAAAAAGTTGTTTAAATACCTTTTTGCATTGGAATATTTTTTCTTATAGTAGTGCCTACTCCGAAGAGAGCTCCCTTCTATAAATTCTCAAAGGCACAAGACTTAACCAAAGCCTCAGAGGGGTGTGGAAATAGTTTTCAACCAACAATGGACGCACCTCGGTTATAACCTCATTATCTCAAGGGAGATCTCGTCATTCTTTACATCACTAAACCACCAGGGAAGTGCCGAACAAGCTCTCCAAGATTGAGGATGTTGATCGCCTAAATGTTAACGATGATGTCCCAGAAGTAGTTGCCAATGGGCTAAGCCGTCACCAAAGGTGATCTTGATCCAGGTTCAATTCGGTGAAGGGTGTCGAAGTGTGTAACTATTAAATTATATTAACTATTAAATGTGAACTAGAATCGGAGGCGATTGCAGGATTGGGTTTTTGGGCTCACAATTTTTATATTAACTATTAAATTATTAAGCCTATATGTAATTTTTTTTTTTTTAAATTTAATTAGACTTGTGTGACTTATTTATGTGTCACATCAGCACATAACTGAATTTTTGACAGAATTGTGTCGAAATGACTACATTGATTTGAGGGTTTTTATCACCAATGGTCCTTAAGATTGACCAAACTCATCATTTTGGTCTCTCACTTTCAAAATCAATCAATGTCGTCTCTAACATTCACCACCACACATCAATTTGGTCATTCCGTTTAGATTCCATCAACTATTCATTTCGATTCCATCAACTATTTATGTTAGTTTGCATGTGGGACCCACAAATCCAATAAAATGGTGACACGTGGATTACACAAAAGAAGAATTTTTATCACAAATGGTCCTTGACATTAATCAAACTCCTTATTTTGGTCCCTGAGTTTCAAAAATCAATAAATTTGGTCCCTGACTTTTACTACTACACATCAATTTAGTCATTCTGTTAAAATTTCGTCAATATTTTTTTGTTAGTGTGATAATATAGTCCCATTGGTCCAATCATATGACCCCACATGGATTAACTATAAATTTTTTTTTAAGATTTAAAACTAAAAGTACTATAAGAAATTGAAAACAAAAAATAATAGGAAAAAAAAAAAAAAAGAAGACATCATCGTCTTCATCTAGGTATGCTCAAAAAGAAAAGGGAGGCACCATGACACCACTAAAGCTCTTATCCTCCATGAACTCACTTCTCGTTCTCTCTAGTTGGTTATAGGGGTAATTTGATCCAACTCCAAAAAATTCACCTGTTTTCAGATTGGGTCGAATTTTATTTGATTTTTTATTACACCTATTTTGCCCCTTGAAAATAAAAAATATTTAAATTCTTTATTTTTGAATTTAAAATTTTAAAACTTTGAATTTTCAAATACCTTTATCTACCCATTTTCTAATTAAAAACATTACAACCAATCTTATAAGTTTATCAAAAATTAAAAGAAACGTTGTCGAGGTAGATAAAAAATTTGTGTAGGTAGATAATATTAATTAATCTATGATATAGGTAGACTATGAATAAAAACCTATCGTATAGATAGATAACACAAAATACTATGTGATATAAATAGACTAATGAGCAAAAACATATTGTATAGGTAGATAACACAATTAATTTGAGATAGGAAAATTTGTGATATATTGGTAGATAAAATACAATTAATCTATAACACAGGTAGAATAAACAAAATATACAAATAGATTCATTACAGAAATATATAATACAGGTAGATAAACAAAGTAATGCATTTCCTATAAAGGTTGAAAAGAAAAATATGTATAATCCAAGTTCAAACTAAAAATTAGGAAGAAATTACCAGTGCAAGCATGAAACTCATATTTTCATGGCAATGTTCCCAATCAAAACGACCTAAACCAAAACCAACCATGTACATCAAGGCATCTTTTGTTGGTGTATTGGCATACTTCAAAGCTCTATACCACTGAAAAAATTAGAAATTGTGACCTTGTATTTCAAAAAGGAGGAAGAAATCATAAGAGCTTGAAAGAAGAAGACTGAACAAGAAGGAAGGGGATCGGAGAACACAACACAAATTGTATACGAGAGTTATGGAAGAAGAGATATACTTTAAAACTAATTCTACAAGTAGGGGATTATTTAAAGATAAATAATCAATTATAATTAATTTCATAATACAAGTAAATCTAGAATTAAAGGATAATGTTAATAGAGGGGTAATTTTAACCAAAAAATGAAAATAAAATGACGTGGACAATGAGTCATTGGACTTAAATCAATAATTAAATAAAATTGGACTACATCTAGTAATTGCTTACAAATTTGGACTTATTTCAAGTTTCCCCTTGGTTATAATCCTATCATATTTGAATTGAATTTGGATTCGATTTTATCAAATTTAGATTGAATCTTATTTTCCAATCGGGATTGTGGGATGCGAGAGAAATGTCAGCACGGAATACTCGCCAGTTGGTTCACTCTAAAAAAAACAATTAGTTTCTTATTGTTAATCCACTTGGTGCCATATGATTGGACTAATGGGACCACATCAACACACTAACAAAAAATATTGACGAAATTTTAATGGAAGGACTCTATTGATGTGCGATAGTGAAAGGCAAGAACCAAATTTATTGATTTTTGAAACTCAGGGACCAGAATGAGGAGTTTGATCGATGTCAGGGACCATTTGCAACAAAAACCCTTCTTTTGTATAATCCACGTGTCACCATTTTATTGGATTTGTGGATCCCACATACAAACTAACAGAATAATTGACGAAATCTAAACGGAATGACCAAATTGATGTGTGGTAGTGAATGTCAGGGACGACATTGATTGATTTTGAAAGTGAGGGACCAAAATGATGAGTTTGGTCATTCTCAGGGACCATTTGTGATAAAAACCCTTGATTTGAGGCATGAAATTAGGAAGAAATTTGATTGTTTTCCTAAACCCTAAACCCTACTTGATCAAATTTCAATTTGAGGGATCATTTTGATGTCACGGGTCCATTTCAGAGACCATTTGGATGTCATGAGTTAATTTTAAGGACCAATTGTGATAAAAAAATGACTTATGAGGCCCATTTATATGCCACAACAACACTTAACAAATATCTTAATAGAATTGTGACGGAATGACCACATTAATTTGCGACACCTATTTTCAAGGATTACATTTATTGATTTTTAATTTCAGGGATCATCTTGATGGTGAGAGTTAATTTCAATGACTATTTGTGATAAAAACCCTAAAAAGATATACTCCGACTCAAACATATCGCTGCTTAGTCCGTCAGTTTATTTCTCCACTTCAGTACTTCTTCATGGAATGATCCCTTTCAAAGGTTAAAAAACTTGAGGTTAAATAAACTGTATCGTTTGTTTTCCTTCTCAAAGATAGCTTTTCAACAGGTTGAAAAACTCATAATGGATTCGGTATTTCGTGCAACTTAATTGAAATTATAGTCGCCAAGATTCCAATTGTCTCAACATTTATAAGGTGATTAAACACGGATGATTAAAGATAATCGAGATATACATGGTAGATCCAGCGATAGCAAGAATAAAATTTCAACATGTACAGATTTGAATCTCCACATGGTTGATTTTCTTTGTGGGGAACCACTCCATATAATGAGCCTATTTTCTTATTAGCTTGGATTATTTTCTTGCAAAGACAAGAGAAAAGGCATTTGCAGATCTTGCCTCCTCAAAACAATCACAATTTCATTTATTAATCAGCTAAAATCATTATGAAATGGAAGTGCAGCAATATAATATGGAAAATAAAAATGCATTGCATGAAGAAAACAAAGGAAAATGAACATGCATGTATATGATATAAATGCCCAGTTGGTAGGAATTGAAATATG